CCTCGGACTCGCAGCCGCCGCCGCTGCCGCCGCGCTCCGCCCGCTCCTTCCCCGGCTGCTCGGCCGGGGCCGGGGGCCGCGCCCGCCCGCAGCCGCGACCCGGCTCCAGCAGCTCCCAGTGAGCCCGCGGGCACCGGCGGCACCCGCACCGGGGGTACCGGGACCCGTCCCGGGGGGAACCCCGGGAGTCGCACCGGGGCACCCTGCCCGGGGTCCCGGGAGCCGCACCGGGGCTCTCCGCCGCGGGACCCGTCCCGGGGGTACCGGGAGCTGCACTGGGGCTCTGCGCCGCGGGACCCTGCCCGGGGGGAACCCCGGGAGCCGCACCGGGGCTCTGCACCGAGGGTCCCGGGAGCCGCACCGGGGCTCTGCGCCGCGGGACCCGTCCCGGGGGTACCGGGAGCCGCACCGGGGGTCCCGGGAGCGGCACTCCCAACACGCGCAGGGATTTTGATACGGTTTTATACTCTCGGCCCACGGGGCCTTTTCTACAGCCCCGCCCGGGTCTCCCGGGGCGGTGGGACGTGGCGGGGCAGCGTCCGGTGGGGTCTCCGGTTTGCCCGGGGGTCACGGGCGCTGCCGCCGCTCCGCGGCTGTAGTTGGTGTGGTTCCGCCCCGCCTCTCCCACGCTCCCCGCAACACCGAGAAATAAAGGCTCTATTTTTCCAGCCCCGGCTCCGCTGTCTCCGTCCGCCGCCGCCCCGCCCGACTCCCCCACGGCGCCGGTCGCACCGGGACGCCCCCGGACTACAACTCCCAGCAGACCCCGCGGGAGCGCCATGACGTCACGCGCAGCTCACCGGGGCGGGGCGGGAGCGGGTGATTGGCAGCCGCGCCTGCCTGTGGCCGGCGAGCGGGGGGCGGAAGGGGTGGCGGGGTCCGGAAGCGGAACGGGTGAAGGCGGAAGTGAGGCCCGGGGCCTGCGAGACGCACCGGCGGGAGCGGCGCTGCGGGCGGTGAGTGCGGCCGCGCCCGCGCCTTCCGCCCCGAGCTGGCCGAGCCGGGCCCCAGGGGGCGGAGCCGCTCCCCGGGGTCCCGC